TTAGAAAGGACTTAATTTTAAATGAGTTCTTGCTAATTGACCAGTTTTACATATTCGGCACGACATTATATATATATATATATATATATATATATATATATAATATATATATATATATATATATATATATATATGACGAGAAGAAAAGAACCTATGAATAAACATAAGTAAGGACCTCAAAGTCACAAATAATGGCGATCATCGAGGAGCAACGTTAACAGAAGATATAATGAAGCTACAGAGAAGAGCTACTAAGTTCATAACTTCACTCAGAAACAAATTCTTTACAGAAAGACCAGCAACACTCAACCTACTTTCTCTTAGGAAACGGAGACTACAAGATATTTTTCAAACTTTTAAGATATTAAATGGTTCTGACAAATTCAACTGTAAAGACCTATCTGAAGTACTCAGTAAGTTCATAAATCGTAATTGTGGAATAAAGCTGCGAGACAGAAGATACAACACGAACGTGTGCCTTTTTCTCTCTCTCAAAAACAATCATAGCAGACAGGGACAAATCTTCCACTCACGTTCTAAGCACGAAAACAATATTCATTCAGAAGTAACTGGAGAAGCATTCTGCAGGTTTATGATTCAATTAAGTTTCATGATGTAGGAATCTAAATTCAACTGATTCCTGATGTTTGTTAAACAATCTGCAGCAGGACGATCAGCAGACAACGAGGCAACCTAACCAATGGTGGTAATAGTGGTAGAAGTAGCTGGTTGTGTTACTCATTGGAGAACTGGCGGCAACCAGCAGTATGATCGTGGGTACACAGCTCAGTGAGTGCAATGGAGTAACACCAGTAATTAAGACAGAACCAGTATATATTAAGGAGAAAATGTGGCCTATGCTTTCCGTACGCTTCCATCTTTCCTCTAAACTCAATTCCATTTTTCAGTATGGTATGGTCCATTTTTTCTGTTTTCATGGGAGTATTGGCAGGAGTAAGTGGAGAGTGGGTAGTGAGCCTTCAGCTTTTCTGCCCTTGACACATACACTCAGGTATTTCACGGAAGTTCTCAATATAGACAGAAGACAAGTGAACTACCAAGTTCTCTCTCTTACCCATGTACTACCTTTGGCAGTCTACTCAAGTCACTTTTTATTCCCTTGTGAAGGTTATTAGTAAAAATTTAGAATGAAAGGACAGAATTGCATACATTTTGGACATCTACACAGGATATGACTTTGTCCTGGGATCTGTATCACTCCCAGTGACACACACTTCTGCCTGGTAGACTAATTACCAGCAGGTAAAACACCTATGGTATATACTCAAAAACCTTACCCACCACCACATACACCGCTACATCTTACTTCCTCTGCGTGTGTAACCTACTGAACACACCACTGCTCCTGTCCTGGCCACACTAACTGACCAGGAATAATACAGGTTTGATTTCAGTACAAACCTGGAAAATGACATATGGAGCGTTATTTCTTACATAAATTTGTACAATACTTTAAATGCAGCACACTGCATAATAACTGCGATTGAAAATTCTGAAATTATCAAATTAATGTACATAAATAATATTAAATAGTATTAGGTTTAGGGTGACATTAACGTGGTAAAGTAAGATGAAGTTATTGTATTAATACAAACTTTACTGCTAAAAGTTTGTATTTTTGGTGGCTAATATGATTGGCTGGATGTTTGAGGTACTGTGTGTACGTGAGAGTAGCGAGAGGTACTGTGTGTACGTGAGAGTAGCGAGAGGTACTGTGTGTACGTGAGAGTAGCGAGAGGTACTGTGTGTACGTGAGAGTCGCGAGAGTACTGTGTGTACGTGAGAGCGCGAGAGGTACTGTTATACGTGAGAGTAGCGAGAGGTACTGTGTTACGTGAGAGTAGCGAGAGGTACTGTTGTACGTGAGAGCAGCGAGAGGTACTGTTATACGTGAGAGTACGAGAGTACTGTGTGTACGTGAGAGTAGCGAGAGGTACTGTGTGTACGTGAGAGTAGCGAGAAGTATTGTGTGTACGTGAGAGCAGCAAAAGGTACTGTGTGTACGTGAGAGTAGTGAGAGGTACTGTGTGTACGTGAGAGCAGCGAGAGGTACTGTGTCTACGTGAGAGCACGAGAGGTACTGTGTGTACGTGAGAGCAGCGAGAGGTACTGTGTGTACGTGAGAGTAGCGAGAGGTACTGTGTGTAAGTGAGAGGTACTGTGTGTACGTGAGAGCAGCGAGAAGTACTGTGTGTACGTGAGAGTAGCGAGAGGTACTGTGTGTACGTGAGAGTAGCGAGAGGTACTGTGTGTATGTGAGAGTAGTGAGAGGTACTGTGTGTACGTGAGAGCAGCGAGAGGTACTGTGTGTACGTGAGAGTAGCGAGAGGTACTGTGTGTACGTGAGAGCAGCGAGAGGTACTGTGTGTACGTGAGAGTAGCGAGAGGTACTGTGTGTACGTGAGAGCAGCGAGAGGTACTGTGTGTACGTGAGAGTAGCGAGAGGTACTGTGTGCATGTGAGAGTAGTGAGAGGTACTGTGTGTACGTGAGAGTAGCGAGAGGTACTGTGTGTATGTGAGAGTAGTGAGAGGTACTGTGTGTAAGTGAGAGTAGCGAGAGGTACTGTGTGTACGTGAGAGTAGCGAGAGGTACTGTGTGTACGTGAGAGTCGCGAGAGGTACTGTGTGTACGTGAGAGCAGCGAGAGGTACTGTGTATACGTGAGAGTAGCGAGAGGTACTGTGTGTACGTGAGAGTAGCGAGAGGTACTGTGTGAACGTGAGAGTAGCGAGAGGTACTGTGTGTAAGTGAGAGTAGTGAGAGGTACTGTGTGTACGTGAGAGCAGCGAGAGGTACTGTGTGTACGTGAGAGCAGCGAGAGGTACTGTGTGTACGTGAGAGCAGCGAGAGGTACTGTGTGTACGTGAGAGTAGCGAGAGGTACTGTGTGTACGTGAGAGTCGCGAGAGGTACTGTGTGTACGTGAGAGCAGCGAGAGGTACTGTGTATACGTGAGAGTAGCGAGAGGTACTGTGTGTACGTGAGAGTAGCGAGAGGTACTGTGTGTACGTGAGAGCAGCGAGAGGTACTGTGTATACGTGAGAGTAGCGAGAGGTACTGTGTGAACGTGAGAGTAGCGAGAGGTACTGTGTGTAAGTGAGAGTAGTGAGAGGTACTGTGTGTACGTGAGAGCAGCGAGAGGTACTGTGTGTACGTGAGAGCAGCGAGAGGTACTGTGTGTACGTGAGAGCAGCGAGAGGTACTGTGTGTACGTGAGAGTAGCGAGAGGTACTGTGTGTATGTGAGAGTAGTGAGAGGTACTGTGTGTACGTGAGAGCAGCGAGAAGTACTGTGTGTACGTGAGAGTAGCGAGAGGTACTGTGTGTACGTGAGAGTAGCGAGAGGTACTGTGTATGTGAGAGTAGTGAGAGGTACTGTGTGTACGTGAGAGCAGCGAGAGGTACTGTGTGTACGTGAGAGTAGCGAGAGGTACTGTGTGTACGTGAGAGCAGCGAGAGGTACTGTGTGTACGTGAGAGTAGCGAGAGGTACTGTGTGCATGTGAGAGTAGTGAGAGGTACTGTGTGTACGTGAGAGTAGCGAGAGGTACTGTGTGTATGTGAGAGTAGTGAGAGGTACTGTGTGTACGTGAGAGAAAGCGATAAGTACTGTGTGTACGTGAGAGTAGCGAGAGGTACTGTGTGTACGTGAGAGCAGCGAGAGGTACTGTGTGTACGTGAGAGTAGCGAGAGGTACTGTGTGTATGTGAGAGTAGTGAGAGGTACTGTGTGTACGTGAGAGCAGCGAGAGGTACTGTGTGTACGTGAGAGTAGCGAGAGGTACTGTGTGTATGTGAGAGTAGTGAGAGGTACTGTGTGTACGTGAGAGTAGCGAGAGGTACTGTGTGTACGTGTGAGAGCAGCGAGAGGTACTGTGTGTACGTGAGAGTAGCGAGAGGTACTGTGTGTACGTGAAAGCAGCAACATATGTTAGTACTAATAGTAGTAATTCTTCTGATCTCGCTTAATAATAAAATAATAATAATAATAATAATAATAATAATAATAATAATAATAATAATATCTGTTTTTACTACAAGTACATGTACAAGGTATACAGTCCTAGCTGACATCAGTGACATACTACTATATAGAAAGTCCCTTGTTATGTTGAGCAAGCGAATCTCTCCACCTCATGACTAACACACCGTCTTTGAACGTATACTGGAAGACACTCAGTGACAAACAACTTGACAGACTTGAGGCATACCATGACTACTGGACTACATATTTAGGAGATACTCTCAGACATCCTTATAATGATGTGAATCTCTTTCAAACGTTGTACGACCCGGCACCTCAACCTCAATACAAATAAACTACCTGACTTATTTAGCCCAACTATTCCAACAATTTTAAAAGTGCCATTGTCATAGAGCTGTGTCTTTGTGCGTTTTTAAGCAGAAGTGCTTGTGACAGGCGTTTGCGTCACCTTTTGCAGTAACCTGTGCCTGTTCCGCGTCCAGTCGTTGCGATTTGAAGTACTCCCGAGAGTGACACTGTTGAGTTTTATGTTTCCCTTGATTAGCAGTTGGGTATAGTCCTGACATTTTTCCTCCTTCTTCAGATTTTTCCTCTCCCCAACCTATCTTCTTCCTCCTGTCCCCACTTGCCCCTCGCCCCTAGTGGACCCTTACCTGTGAGTCCTCTGTTCTGTTCTGTGTTGAGCATTTCGGGCAAATTAGATCAGTGTCCCGGGATGCGACCCACACCAGTCCATTAACACCCAGGTACCCATTGTACTGATGGGTGAACATAGACAATAAGTGTAAAGAAACACGCCCAATGTTTCTACCCTGGTTGGGAATCGAACCCAGACCCTCGACGTGTGAAGCGAGAGCTCTAGCTACCAGGCCACCAGAGGATGATAAGACACACAAACAGGGACTGGAAACTAGTGTTGCTTGTGTGTATTTATCAATTACAAGTTATCGGTATTCCTATACTATAAATTATTAAACTACTCTGGTGTCTTCCTCAGGGATTCCGGGTGTTTGCTGGATGCCTGAAGACCGGAGGGACAGGAGCTGACTACCTTCGGCGGAAGGGCTCCAGCAAGCTTCACGTCATACAGATGGACATCACCAGTCAAAAACAGCTGGAGAAAGCTGCACAGGAGATCAAGGACTTGCTGCCTGAGGGAGGTAAATGACCAGTGTTGATGTAAAGCTTCAGCTGGCTATCTCAAACATTCACAGTATCACCATCTGAAACATTCACAGTATCACTATGTGAAACATTCACAGTATCACTTTGTGAAACATTCACAGTATCACAATCTGAAACATTCACAGTATCAATATGTGAAACAGTCACATTATCACTCAAACATTCATAGTATCACTCAAACATTCATAGTATCACCCAAACATTCACAGTATCACTCAAACATTCACAGTATCACTCAAACATTCACAGTATCACCCAAACATTCACAGTATCACTCAAACATTCACAGTATCACTCAAACATTCATAGTATCACCCAAACATTCACAGTATCACTCAAACATTCACAGTATCACTCAAACATTCACAGTATCACCCAAACATTCACAGTATCACTCAAACATTCACAGTATCACTCAAACATTCACAGTATCACTCAAACATTCACAGTATCACTCAAACATTCACAGTATCACCCAAACGTTCACAGTATCACTCAAACATTCACAGTATCACTCAAACATTCACAGTATCACTCAAACATTCACAGTATCACTCAAACATTCATAGTATCACTCAAACATTCACAGTATCACTCAAACATTCACAGTATCACCCAAACATTCACAGTATCACTCAAACATTCACAGTATCACCCAAACATTCACAGTATCACCCAAACATTCACAGTATCACCCAAACATTCACAGTATCACTCAAACATTCACAGTATCACCCAAACATTCACAGTATCACCCAAACATTCACAGTATCACCCAAACATTCACAGTATCACCCAAACATTCACAGTATCACTCAAACATTCACAGTATCACTCAAACATTCACAGTATCACCCAAACATTCACAGTATCACCCAAACGTTCACAGTATCACCCAAACATTCACAGTATCACCCAAACGTTCACAGTATCACTCAAACATTCACAGTATCACCCAAACATTCACAGTATCACCCAAACATTCACAGTATCACCCAAACATTCACAGTATCACTCAAACATCCACAGTATCACTCAAACATTCACAGTATCACCCAAACATTCACAGTATCACCCAAACATTCACAGTATCACCCAAACATTCACAGTATCACTCAACATTCACAGTATCACCCAAACATTCACAGTATCACCCAAACGTTCACAGTATCACTCAAACATTCACAGTATCACTCAAACATTCACAGTATCACTCAAACATTCACAGTATCACCCAAACATTCACAGTATCACTCAAACATTCACAGTATCACTCAAACATTCACAGTATCACCCAAACATTCACAGTATCACTCAAACATTCACAGTATCACTCAAACATTCACAGTATCACTCAAACATTCACAGTATCACCCAAACATTCACAGTATCACCCAAACATTCACAGTATCACCCAAACATTCACAGTATCACTCAAACATTCACAGTATCACCCAAACATTCACAGTATCACCCAAACATTCACAGTATCACCCAAACATTCACAGTATCACTCAAACATTCACAGTATCACTCAAACATTCACAGTATCACCCAAACATTCACAGTATCACTGAAACATTCACAGTATCACCCAAACATTCACAGTATCACCCAAACATTCACAGTATCACCCAAACATTCACAGTATCACCCAAACATTCACAGTATCACTCAAACATTCACAGTATCACCCAAACATTCACAGTATCACCCAAACATTCACAGCATCACCCAAGCATTCACAGTATCACCCAAACATTCACAGTATCACCCAAACATTCACAGTATCACTCAAACATTCACAGTATCACTCAAACATTCACAGTATCACCCAAACATTCACAGTATCACCCAAACGTTCACAGTATCACTCAAACATTCACAGTATCACCCAAACGTTCACAGTATCACTCAAACATTCACAGTATCACCCAAACATTCACAGTATCACCCAAACATTCACAGTATCACCCAAACATTCACAGTATCACTCAAACATTCACAATATCACTCAAACATTCACAGTATCACCCAAACATTCACAGTATCACTCAAACATTCACAGTATCACTCAAACATTCACAGTATCACTCAAACATTCACAGTATCACCCAAACATTCACAGTATCACCCAAACATTCACAGTATCACCCAAACATTCACAGTATCACTCAAACATTCACAGTATCACCCAAACATTCACAGTATCACCCAAACATTCACAGTATCACCCAAACATTCACAGTATCACTCAAACATTCACAGTATCACTCAAACATTCACAGTATCACCCAAACATTCACAGTATCACTCAAACATTCACAGTATCACCCAAACATTCACCGTATCACCCAAACATTCACAGTATCACCCAAACATTCACAGTATCACTCAAACATTCACAGTATCACCCAAACATTCACAGTATCACCCAAACGTTCACAGTATCACTCAAACATTCACAGTATCACTCAAACATTCACGTATCACTCAAACATTCACAGTATCACCCAAACATTCACAGTATCACTCAACATTCACAGTATCACTCAAACATTCACAGTATCACCCAAACATTCACAGTATCACTCAAACATTCACAGTATCACTCAAACATTCACAATATCACTCAAACATTCACAGTATCACCCAAAAAATTCACAGTATCACCCAAACATTCACAGTATCACCCAAACATTCACAGTATCACTCAAACATTCACAGTATCACCCAAACATTCACAGTATCACCCAAACATTCACAGTATCACCCAAACATTCACAGTATCACTCAAACATTCACAGTATCACTCAAACATTCACAGTATCACCCAAACATTCACAGTATCACTGAAACATTCACAGTATCACCCAAACATTCACAGTATCACCCAAACATTCACAGTATCACCCAAACATTCACAGTATCACCCAAACATTCACAGTATCACTCAAACATTCACAGTATCACCCAAACATTCACAGTATCACCCAAACATTCACAGTATCACCCAAGCATTCACAGTATCACCCAAACATTCACAGTATCACCCAAACATTCACAGTATCACTCAAACATTCACAGTATCACTCAAACATTCACAGTATCACCCAAACATTCACAGTATCACCCAAACGTTCACAGTATCACTCAAACATTCACAGTATCACCCAAACGTTCACAGTATCACTCAAACATTCACAGTATCACCCAAACATTCACAGTATCACCCAAACATTCACAGTATCACCCAACATTCACAGTATCACTCAAACATTCACATATCACTCAAACATTCACAGTATCACCCAAACATTCACAGTATCACTCAACATTCACAGTATCACTCAAACATTCACAGTATCACTCAAACATTCACAGTATCACCCAAACATTCACAGTATCACCCAAACATTCACAGTATCACCCAAACATTCACAGTATCACTCAAACATTCACAGTATCACCCAAACATTCACAGTATCACCCAAACATTCACAGTATCACCCAAACATTCACAGTATCACTCAAACATTCACAGTATCACTCAAACATTCACAGTATCACCCAAACATTCACAGTATCACTCAAACATTCACAGTATCACCCAAACATTCACAGTATCACCCAAACATTCACAGTATCACCCAAACATTCACAGTATCACCCAAACATTCACAGTATCACCAAACATTCACAGTATCACCCAAACATTCACAGTATCACCCAAACATTCACAGTATCACCCAAACATTCACAGTATCACCCAAACATTCACAGTATCACCCAAACATTCACAGTATCACCCAAACATTCACAGTATCACCCAAACATTCACAGTATCACCCAAACATTCACAGTATCACCCAAACATTCACAGTATCACCCAAACATTCACAGTATCACCCAAACATTCACAGTATCACCCAAACATTCACAGTATCACTCAAACATTCACAGTATCACCCAAACATTCACAGTATCACCCAAACATTCACAGTATCACTCAAACATTCACAGTATCACTCAAAAAATTCTAGAGACGTAATCAAACGATCTACGGCTAAAAGTGTTTTTTGTTGTATCTTTAGAAATAATCGCTAAATTTGCAGTTAGATGACATATAAAATGATTTCATATTAATAGTTATTAATTTAATATTTGCATAATTATATGAAAATACAAAAAAAAAAAACGTCATCTGGAAACATTTTATTATACGAGCTTCCTACCACCTGCAGCTCACAAGACTGCCATCCCCACGAGCCCCTTTGGGGCGGGGCAGATGGCAGACCAGAGTCTAGCTTCTCCCTACGAGCCCCGTGAGGGCGGGGAATGTGGCTAGGCCTGGGGACAGTTGGTCCCAAAGATGAGGGGGTACTTGTACCTCCTCCCATGGGAGACTTAAGTCTCGAGACACTCCCCAGATAGGGAGCCAAGGCCGGGTCACCACTACTTGGAAAAGACCCGGGCCGGGAGAATACCGGCGAATAAGAAAAAAAAAACATTACTGAAAATATTCACTCTGTTGAAAAAGCTTTTGATACAGTATGGCATGATGGATTAAAATATAAACTTTGCACTTCCTTTGATTTAATTTTAAATATGATGAAATAATTATGTCACTTTTAGATGGCCGCACGATGCGTATACGATTCAGAGATCACTAGTCTGACTATTTCACTTTACACGCAGGTGTTCCCCAAGGCTCTGTCCTATCTTCCACCCTATATATACTCTACACTAACGATTTACCAGAACCTCTTTACCCTAACACACTTACACTCTCCTATGTAGACGACATCACTCAACTCACAGCACATGAAAACATTCGTTTCCTTGTACGCAGAACACAAAGAGAGGTCGACAGGATTACCGCCTGGGAATTATTATGGCGCATTAAGACTAACCCAAATAAGTCAAAGATCACATACTTTCATAGAAGACGCGATGTCCCGACTCCTGTCGAACTCAAAACAAACACCTCCCGTACCCCCATCCCACGCTCCCCCTCCACAGTTGTTCTTGGTGTTACCCTCGACAACACACTGACTCTAAAACCTCACGACTGCAAAGGCTGGGATTGGGCTCTCAAGGCTATATAAGCTGCGAGGAGCTAATCCCAAGTCTAAACTACATCTTTACAAAGCTCTCATTCGACCTCTACTCTTTTACTCTCCACTTGCTCTGACGTTAACTGCCAAGACAAACGCACTAAAATTCCAACGCATCCAGAATCGTGCATTACGTTGGGTGTTGGGCGTGAGACGGGACGAATTCGCCACCAGCGAATCTCTCCACCTCAGGACTAACACACCAGCTTTGAACGTGTACTGGAAGACACTCAGTGACAAACAACTTGACAGACTTGAGGCATACCATGACTACTGGATTACCTATTTAGGTGAGACTGTCAGGCATCCTTACAATGATGTAAACCTCTTTCAAGCGTTGTACGACCCTGCACCTCCACCTCGATACATATAAACTACTTGACCTGTTTAGCCCAACTATTCCAACAATTCTATAACTGTCATTGTCATAGAGCTGTGTCTCTGTGCGTTTTATGCTGAATTGCTTGCGACAGTCGTTTGCGTCACCTTTTTTATAGTAACCTGTTCCTGTTGCGCTTCCAGTCGTTGCGAGTGATGTACATCACTCGCAACGACTGGACACTGCTGCATTTTAGGTTTCCCTTGATTAGCAGTTGGGTCTAGTCCTGACACTTTTCCTCCTTAAGATATTTCTCTCCCCAACCCATTTTCTTCCTCCTGTCCCCACTTGCCCCTCTCCCCCAGCAGGTCCTTACCTGTGAGTCCTCTGTTCTGTTCTGTATATTCACTCTAACAAAATCGAAGAAAATAAATTTATTTTACTGATAAATTGTATTTTCATCGAAACTAAAATCGTATGTCTGTCAAATTATTCGCCTCATGAAAGTCTGTTTCATTAATGTCTTCTTCAGTAATTCAGCAAGAAATATTTTATCATTATTACAGTTTCTTGTCTGAACCAAATTGCAGTTTTTTTTTTTTAACTGGGTAAGGAGTATATTACTTCCTCGTTACATTTCACAGGAGGAGGTTGTAAATTCAGTGTTACACTGGTGTTACAGAGGGCGTGTGGGGACTGGTGAACAATGCCGGTGTGTGTACCCTGGGCCCCGTAGAGTGGGTGTCCATGGAAGGCTTCAGGAAGGACCCGGAGGTTAATGTATTTGGCCTCGTTGCTGCTACCAAAACATTCCTGCCGCTCGTCCGTCTTGCTAAAGGTTAGTGGAAAATCACTGTCAGTCGAGGTGATAACTAAATTTAATATTAGTCTGAGGAAAGCCCGGGTTGATGTGCCATGCAGCTGGACTAAATATAAAAATGGGTAAAGTGTCAAGGGTAGATGAGTCGCAGGTTCATTAATTTGTAAGTTGAAGACAAATAACAAAGATGGAGGCTGAGGAAAATTTACTGCTAAATATTTTTTAATTACATAAAATTGAGCACTTTAACATATATTTTTGTGAATTAAGTGTAGATTGTATTTTATTTTCCACTAAACAAGATAAGTAGCCAAGCCTGCCCTTGTTAAAATTAATATAGTAAAATGTACCTTAATTCTCCCCTAATTTACACTTACACTCACCCAAATGACTGTAAATATAAAATTCCTAATATAGTTATTGCCTATTAAATCTTAAGTTAGTCCTAAATTTATCAGAGATAATTATGTATCTAATAATGTATGTTCGAACATACTGTTCCATAACCTATATCAATATAGAGTAAGAATTAGTATTAGTTTGCCCGAAATGTCTAGGCAGGTTAGTGACCTTCTTGGTTATTAATATTTTATAACATGTTAATCACACATTTTAAGCTTCACAAGGAAATAAACAGTTTGATTTTGAATTTGATTTAATCCTAAGCAACTTATTTTGAGTCTTTCAAAGTTGTGTTGGTTTTACTGTAGCATCAGTGAGGTAATATTAATTTAGTGATAATGACGTTCATGTTCGCGGAGTTATTGCAGCAATTCACAGTTTGACTACCCATACCCCCGGCCGGGGTTCAACCCGCGCTCATAGAGTCTCAAAACTCCAGCCCGTCGCGTTAGCCACTAGACTAGCGACGGGCTGGAGTTTTGAGACTCTATGACCGCGGGTTCAATCCCGGCCGGGGGTATGGTTTGTTTGCAATCGTGTCATTACGATTTCTTGAGTCACAGTTTGACTGTAAGTATTCAGATGTATATTCGATTAATTAGGTTTTCCCGAAGGGGACTTTTATAAGGATACATAAATTACTTTGTTTTCCTCCATCTGACATCTTCATAGAAAATTCAATCATTTGGAAATCCATTCATTTGGAGCTTCTCTGAATGTCTTCAGGGATATACAGCCTTTTTTTTTTTTTCGTCCACAGACATCATGACTTACCATAAAGGAAATTAATCAAGCTCCTTAAGTCATAGCATATCTTTCAATAATATAAAAATACAAGTTTACGAATGATACAAAGCTTCAGGATCTCCCCAGTACGTATTCGATGTAAAAGGATAGTATTAAGAATCATACTTAAAAACCCGCACGTAAGAAAAACTTGTGAAGACATTTCGGTTTGACTTGGATCATTAACTAGTCACATACTAACATATGAAGGTAAGGGAGCCAGTGTATATACGAGAGGAGGGAAGGGACGGGAGAAACACAGGAAGTTAAAATGAAATGAAGGAAGTGGAGATGGTAGTAGAAGAGGTAGTACATGTAGTGGAAGTAGTAGTAGTAGTAGTAGTAGTAGTAGTAGTAGTAGTAGTTATGGTAGTCGTGATAGTTGTGGTAGTAGTAAGTAGGGGAAGTAGTGGTATTGGCAGAAGAGTCAGAGAGTAGAGTGAAGCGAGGCAGTAGTATTGGTAGCAGCAGTAGTAGTGCAGGGTAAAAAAAGAGCACTGCAGGAGAACTACTGGCCCACGAGGGTGGGACCGAAAATGTAGGGGAAAAACTGAAGGATAGAAAACAGCTAGGCAGAAGAAAGATAAAGAAAATATAGGAAAGAAGAAGAGATAAATTTCAGGTCAAGTTTTGAAGTTTGGAGCATTTGACGATGTAACGAGAAAGGAAGACATCTACACAGACAAAGCCTCGACTAAGATTCGTATTAGGAAAGTTGTGTATAAAGAATGCTTCAACAAGACGGCGACTGTGAAGGTTAGAAAGGTAGACAGTTATATCAGAGGACCAGTCATGAGAGAAAAGAGCATTATTGGTGTCGGCAAGTCTAACACTTCTTTCGTGCTCTTTAAGTCGGCCAGAAAGAGAACGGCCCAGTTTCTCCGAAGTACTGGAGAGGACAAGAGGATCAAGAAATGGAGTAGGCTACGGAAGCATCAGTAGCAGGAGTAGAGATACCGACTAGATTACTACGAAGGGTGTTAGTTTGGTTAAAAGTAAGTTTGACGTCTAAGAAACGGAGAGAGTTGTTAAGGTTTTACAACGTGGAAATATAGGGAAGGCAAAGAACCGGAGATTTCACAGGAGTAGAGATTTTGGGAAGAAAGTCAGTTTAGTATGTGAAAAAAAGACATATTTGAGATAAGGATAGATAGACAATGAGGTAATGTGATTCCTGTGTTGTTAGGTAGGTGGTGCTTTGCCTGGTTGAGTATCATGTATGCTAATGTTTTTGAAATTTTGTAGCTTCTAGTGGTATGTTCTATGGTGTCGGTGACGGCGATTAGCAAGGCTTTCAGACATCGTCGGCGTCTACGATCTTGTTCAGTGACGACGAGTTGTCTCTTATGACAATCCATTAAATGTCCCGTAGACTTAAGGTAGGCCAGTGTAGGACACAGGCCTACCTTAGGTCGTCTCTGTTGTTAACGTTCGTTCAGGCGAATGGAAGATTTCTGCCTGTTTCTTCTACTATTTCCTGGGCAGTACCCATATGGGTGGTGTAACGCCCACTGTGGAAGTTAGAGGTGGGATGGTAGACGCCACTGTGGAAGTTAGAGGTGGTTGTTTGGTGTAGACGCCCACTGTGGAAGTTAGAGGTGTGGATGGTGTAGACGCCCACTGTGGAGTAGAGGTGGATGGTGTGGGACGCCCACTGTTGGAAATTAAGGTGTGGAGGTGTAGACGCCCACTGTGGAAGTTAGAGGTGTGATGGTGAAGACGCCCCACTATGGAAGATTAGAGGTGTGGATGGTGTAGACGCCCACTGTGGAAGTTAGAGGTGTGGATGGTGTAGACGACCACTGTGGAAATTAGAGGTGTGGATGGTGTAGACGCCCACTGTGGAAGTTAGAGGTGTGGATGGTGTAGACGCCCACTGTGGAAGTTAGAGGTGTGGATGGTGTAGACGCCCACTGTGGAAGTTAGAGGTGTGGATGGTGAAGACGCCCACTATGGAAGTTAGAGGTGTGGATGGTGTAGACGCCCACTATGGAAGTTAGAGGTGTGGATAGTTTAGACGACCACTGTGGAAGTTAGAGGTGTGGATGGTGTAGACGCCCACTGTGGAAGTTAGAGGTGTGGATGGTTTAGACGCCCACTGTCGAAGTGTTACAAAAAACGCGATTCTAAAAGCTTAGAAATCTCCAGTGAATACTAGAAAGGACTGCCCTTCTAGCATCCAGCCTGTTACTGGGTTTTAATAACAAGTAGTCAGTATCCTGGTCCAATTATCCATCAGAATTCAATAAGAATTATTAGTGCTTCAGGATTACAACTGGTAGGCTACTAACTAGAGAAATTAAAATTTAATAAATTTATTAATAATTAGGCGTATATCAAATTAGGCGTATATCAAATTAAATTAAATTAATCACAGTAATCAAAATAATAATAATCACTTCTCTCGTGTACAGTATTATTGTGCTGAAAGCACATATCACATTTATAATTCTTAAGTACCGTCTGGTACATTAACATTTAATAAGATATTACAAATATGTACAAGTATGTGTGTATGTGTGTAAGTGCTCTAAGTAGTTCGCTATGTCTCACGACTCGACTAGACTTAAACAAGTGACTGACAAAGTCCTCAGATAAACTAAGTTCTTGACCAACTGGCAATCAGAACAGTCTGCTTGAACAATAAAAAGAATGCTAAGCTCAATAGCAATATAACAAGCAACTGCGACACAGAATCAGGAACAAGGAGATAATATAACGACACTAAGTAGGGACCATCAGCAGATCCTCCACAAAAGTCACAAAACTCCCATACTACTGCATCTAAGTTCAGCATAAGAAAATCCCCGACTGTGACAATACACAGATACCAGTACAAATTAGGTCAGAAGCTACAGCTCAGGACCTGAGTTGTTTAGAGTGTCTATGCGACACACAACCTCAGTACAACGTCGAAAATCACTAAGTCTATACTATGTTCTGTGAACAGAGTTACACAGGACCTACAACAATGAGACAGACACGATCTTCCAACAAGAGCCAATAAGGGAGATTTAGGCACTTCTTGTCTGGAATACGTCCAACCACCAAGCGAGTCTAGACCAGACTGAATACTTCAGGCGAGGTGAGATCACCTCCCCCTCGATCACGTGATAGCTGCGTGGACAGTTGCTGCCCAGCAACAACGAGAAGCCGGCAGAGTAACGAGCAAAGAGCGATAATTACAGTAGTTAGACAATCAAGACTTGAACTATGACCACATAATAATATGTTACATCCTACCTAACAAAAGTAACTAAGACAAATAATAATATAAAGTCATATATTTACGATTTAGCTATTATCCAAATAAGCATATAAATATATGAAAGATAAATACATTATATACATATACATCATTACATTGAAACCATTCAAGGTTGCAACAGAAGTTAGAGGTGGATGGTGAAGACGCCCATTGGAAGTTAGAGTGTGGATGGTGAGACCCACTGTGAAGTTAGAGGTGTGGATGGTGTAGACGCCCACTGTGGAAGTTAGAGGTGTGGATGGTGTAGACGCCCACTGTGGAAGTTAGAGGTGTGGATGGTGTAGACGCCCACTGTGGAAGTTAGAGGTGTGGATGGTGTAGACGCCCACTGTGGAAGTTAGGTGTGGATGGTGTAACGCCCCTGTGAAGTTAGAGTGGTGGTGAAGACGCCCACTGTGGAAGTTAGAGGTGTGGTGGTGTAGAGCCATGGTTTGGTGTTATGGTGTAGACGCCCACTGTGGAAGTTAGAGGTGTGGATGGTGTAGACGCCCACTGTGGAAGTTAGAGGTGTGGATGGTGAAGACGCCCACTGTGGAAGTTAGAGGTGTGGATGGTGTAGACG